ATTTTCACAACTGTGACCTTTTTGGAAGCAGATCACTCTGCTTGTCTTCCAAGGCACCAATGGTGAACGTGAACCATCAGCCTTTCAACTTGTAGTAAAGTGTTTAGCCATTTGTGTCATCCAGGGACTCCTTTCTAACAAATAGAATGTAGTAAAATGACCTACTTGTGATTATGTTACATTATATGAGGGGGCTTAATAAAGATCATGGAAAAATTCCAGTATCTTTCAATTCAATTTTTCCCATGAACTTTTTGAAGCTGCTTCATACAAGATTTCATCTTCCAAGCTGACAAAAGTCTAGAGACTTTTTGTGGCTTGAAGAAGTAGATGACCATGTTGAGAAAGCCCATGAGTAACTGCACTTGGCCTCTGGAGCTGAGGTTGACCTCTAGTCTCCATCCCATGAGGGCCTTCATTACCACAGACACGAGGAAATGATTGCAACCTTGTGAGATCCTAAGAAGCGGACCCACTAAGCCATGCCCAGACTTCTGACTCATAGAATAAGTGGGCTGATACAGGTACATTGTTTGCAGCCACTAAATTTGTGATAATTGATGTTTTAGTTGTTGTTGAACCCATTCCAACTCATGGTGACCCCATGTGTTAGAGTATAACTGCTTCACAGGGGTTTCTGGGCTGTAATCTTCAAAGAAGCAGACCACTAGGTCCTTTTTTCTATGACACTTGCTGGGTGGGGTCAAACTGTCAACCTTTAGGTAAGTGTTGCTGTTATTGTTAAGGTTTCCAAGGAGAAGCTGGTGGGTTTGAACCCCAGAACTTGTGGTTGTTAGCAATCCAGTACTTATCTTATAGTACCACACTGGGACTTGAGTCAATGTCTTTTGTACCACATAGGGATGTACTTTGTTATGTAGCAATAGAAAACTTATACCAAACTCAAACCCACTAACAGCAGAATGCTTTAACCATGGTGTCAACAGGCCTTCTTGAAAATGTGTACAGTGCTCAACAAATGTTATTCCTTTGAAATATCAGTGATTTTGGTTGTGGTGGAGGTGTGTCGACGAGTTGGTTCTTACTCATAGCAACCCAGTGTAAGGTTTCTGAGGCTGTAAATCTTTATGGGAGAAGAAAGCCTAATTTTTCTCCTGGGGGAGCAGATGGTGGACTCAAACTACACCTCCAGGATTTCGTGTGATTTTAGGACTGTGTCAAATAGCTCTCTTTGACCATCCTCTTAGCTAAGGTTTGGTTAATGTCTGCTCCTCAAAATAAAATGTTAGGTATTCATTTGAGTTAGATTCTGATTGATTTTGTTAGCAGTTTTGGGGGGAATTCTTGCTTTCTGAGATAAATGGATGCTTGTCCATTTGTCTCTTCGTTAGTAGCAACATCAACTTCCTTTGGAAAGGGCTTCCCCCAATTTCCAATGACAGTAGTCTGTGTTCTGCCCAAAGAGAGGACATGCAAACCTCTCTACTAACTGGCCCTACTAACTGGCCCAGTTAAATGCCTACTAACTGGCCCAGTTAAATCTTTTAGCTGTGCTGTTATACGTGCTCACTGGTTGAGAGAACATCTCTCTTCTTTGCAGTCACTCAGCAGGTATGATGTAAGCCTGTGACTGCACCTTTGGAGAAAGTCTTATGTGTAGTAGGAAAGAATGTGGTTAACACAAAGAGGCAGCATTTAGTACTTGAGACATAGAGTCCCTGAGGACTGCTCCAACCCAGACTTCCCACTTATATAAACTACTTTGAATTAAGTTTTTATGTCTTTCAACTAGAGTCCAGATTGATCTTTTAGACCCTGCTTCCTAATCTATTTACAGGTGGCCATTAAGTCATTTCCTTTGTTCCCTGAGTGAAAAAACATGGCTAAAGTCAGTGGTGGACTTTAGACAATCCTGTTCTCTGTTCGGACGTTTTTCTAGCCACCCCTCCCCAACCAACTTTCTATAGTTCTAGTCCCTACAGTTCTCCCTCTTCGTCAAACTTGTATCTGTTAGAAACACATTTACTAGCTGTTGTTGGGATTGCTTCTACCTTTATAAAAAGTTTGGGGAGTCCATTTAGTGAAATGTTTCTTATGTGTTTTGGTCACTATCTTGTCACAGTAGCAAAAACCTAGAATAGATTTTTTAATCTCTTAAAGTTATACTTAATAGACTTCATCTAGTTAAATATTAAATAAGAATGGTTATTTTATTTATTTATTTTTTTAATTTAAGGTTTTTATTGTGGATTGAGTGAAAGTTTACAGGGCACATCATCAGTTTTACATTCAACAATTCATATAACTTGTTTCATTACATTGATTATAATCCCCTCCATATACCATCAGTTAAAAGTATTTCTCTTTATCCACGTTAGCTTTT